GTGAAACGAGCAAAAGTGTGGATGCAATGACACTGGTGCAGAAAGTTATGGAAGTATAAGTCAGCTGCACATAAAATAGGTTTTTCTTATCAGATTCATTTTCGCTGACATTCAGTAGCAAAATAATAGTCAAATTGCCCCCACATTTTTGTCCAAGATAGTCAATAACTAAAGGAACAGGGAAGATACTGAAAATGACTATTGACATTCCAAATAGTCTGGGTACAAGCCTGTTGATCCTTGGCTTCAGCCAGAGAAAGAAGCAGCTGGTAAAGTTAGCAACCTTCACACAGTAGAAAACATTTAGCCATGTGTCAGCCCAAACACTGGCCAGATTGAAGAAGATCCAAACAACATATCCAAATATTTTATAAGAACTCATATAGGTCTCTGAGGAGAAAATATACAGAAAATAGTCCAGTGAAGATTGCAGGTGCACTATAAATCTGGAGGTGCTTAAACTAATTAAGAGGAAATCATAAGGCAACATCTTTCTTTTTTGAAGCCATTGATGTCCCTGAACAACCATGATAAATCCGTTTCCTAGAAAAGAAACCATGTATAAAATTCCTACAATAGTCCACATAAGGATATCGAGTGGAGAAGTTGAGTTGCTAGCCATTCCTGTCATCTTCTAGACAGATAAGAAGATCTGAGCGGATGTATCAATATGTGTTTTCCTGGGTTTTCTTTGGTATCTAGCAGAAAGAACACTGCTTTTTGGTTATTTTTAAATAGATAGAACATACAATGGAAATCAATGCAAATTTTGGGAGTATTCTGTGATAAATAACCCGATCAAGACTCAGTGATTAACAGGGTGCTGAAATAATTCCAAAATAACCTCTTGTGTTTTTAACCCAGGACTCTTTATGTGAGTCTCTTTCCCATTGGATCCTGCTTAATGATGCTCTCAGTTTCACAATCACAGTAGGAAGATTTCAGGTGAAATGGGAATTATTGCCACCTTGTCCAATTGCTTCCTCCTCAACTCTTTTGTAAGCATATTAAACAATTGCTAATGGTTGATAGCTTTGAAATGTTTTAGATCACTTCCTCATTTATTGAAAAGACAGCAATATGCAATAAAGAGACTTGACCCATATTAAAGATTGAACTTTTATTTAATGTAAGATTCAAGTTTGTAGTCAGGTATGCATATAATCATTCCATGCTGATGTAAGACTAACAACCTCATCGCACGGGGCTACAATTGGCGGCATGCGCCAATCTAGCCACAGTCACCCATGGAGCCGGCCGGTTCCCATCAGACAATGCTGTACTGGCTCTGTGGGATCAACAGCTGCAGTAGCCAGGTGATGCAGGGCGAGGGGCCGTGGCTTCATGCTCCTCAGTGAAGCAAAGCGAGGTGAGCCTTTTTTGGTGGCCATCTGATGAGGCCGTAAATGCAATGAAACAATCTACACTGATGTTTCAGAACTGTGCATTTAAAAAACCACCTTTCAGAAATAACCAGATTGGAGGCAGTTATGGAACAAATCGGAAAACCATAGAACCCCACAAAAATGAATTAACAATCGAAATTCAACTCAGTTGCAAGATCGATAGTCAATATCAGTGGGTCAAAACCTATTATATCTATGTCCATTCTCTAGTTGTGACTAGTTACAATGGGTTAATCCAATAGCTCAGATGGTATTCTGGAGGTTTAAATGATGTGTATATAATAAATGGATACCAAATTAAATCAATCTTATCTCTATCTATTTATCCCTTCAATACTCTTATTTAATTGGCCGGTTTTTCCAAAAAGGCAACAAATTAGATCCTTTAAGGGTAGAAAAGGCAACAAGGGCCTCACAAAAATGCACTTTTTGATTCAGTGTATTTGATGTAACATTATTCCATTTTTTTGACCTTGTTGCATTTTAGCCACATATGGATTGTAATTCACTTATCTGAGTAGACACTCTAGCATTTTGTATGTTTCGCCATCTTAACCATTCCCCACTCCCCTGAAATTTAGAGTTTTTTTAAAAACATTTTGTAGTTTGTTTGTTTGTTTTCATGTCAGGAATGACTTGAGAAACTGCAAGTCGCTTCTGGTGTGAGAGAATAGGCTGCCTGCCAGGACGTTGCCCAGGGCATGCCCACATGTTTGATGTTTACCATCCTTGTGAGAGGCTTCTTTCATGTCCCCACATGGGGAACTGGGGCTGACAGAGGGAGCTCAACCCGCTCTCCCAGATGCGAACCGCTGACCTATTAGTCATCAGTCCTGCCAGCACAAGGGTTTAACCCATCGCACCACCACAGTGATATAATCTAACATTATTTGTTGATATAATCTAACATTATTAGCCTTCCTATAAAAATTAATCTCCAGTGGTATATAACTCATCTAATGAACCTACAATGCAGTGTCTGGTCTGCGTGTCTCAGCAAATATTCCTATGTATATATTTCATTCACTTTTGTAAGTGTCATGGATTTATGAAAGGAGGAGTGCCTTCTAAAATGGCCAAAATGGCAAAAGGCGAGATGAGCTGACACTTGGCCTGCTGAAACTGTGTGCAATCTAGATCTTTCTCATGTTAGGGTATATAACATTACTTTGAATGACCTTCATCCTGGATTAACTTTGCACTAACTCAATGGTCTTTCTCTGGTTTGCAAGAAGTTTTTAAATGACAAATTCAGTGTCAATATCTTTTAGCTACACTCACAATAGATTAAAGGATGAAGTGAGTGATAGCAGCTCTTTGCATTATTTTGCAAGGCATATTGTCCAAATATAGTAAAAACAAGAAACAGGCTGTTTCATCATGCAAGTTTCAATTTGTTGCTAGATTATACATTTAACCAAGGCATGACTTTATCATTAGAGGATGAAACCACTGCAATATATTTGCGTGTCTCCACAAGGAGCATAGCACGCAGCTTCCTCCTGTGCAGCTGCCAGGAAACACATCATTTGCTCCCTTAGGGCCTTTATTATAGAAAAAGACAATAGTATAGTGAGATACGACTGCACTTAATATTATTTCCCTAATCATTTTTGAGATTGTTTTATTTATCTGTGAAATAAAGAGACTTGACAATACCTATGACATTAAAGATTCCACTTTTATTTATGTAAGATTGAAGTCTAAAGTGAGGTGTGGTTACATCATCTGTAGATATCTCCCTATGACCTTGGTGGATGGAGCCATTGTTCAGTATCTGGCTATAGGAGCCCCCAGTGGCACAACGGGTTAATCCCTTGTGCCAGCAGAACTGCTGACTGACAGTCCCACAGTTCGAATCAGGGAAAGCGGTTTGAGCTCCCTCTGTCAGCTCCTGCTGCCCAGTTGGGGACATGAGAGAAGTCTCTCACAATTATGGTAAAGCATCAAAACATCCAGGCGTTCCCTGGGCAATGTCCTTGCAGATGGCCAATTCTCTCACATCAGAAGGGACTTGCAGTTTCTTAAGTTGCTCCTGACATGCAAAAAAATCTGTCTATAGAGACCTAACCAGACACTCTACTGATGTCCACTGTTCTGCAGCGAATCATAAGGTACACTACAAAATTGTTGAAAATGAGCCTGGCGGGGGGCAGTCGAAGCCTTAACTTTAGCACTATATCTGATGTGGAGGCTATTATGTTTAGTGCCAGAAAACAATTCATTCCTCTATAGCACCAAACTTAAAATCCAACTGCAGTGACCTTGAAGATAAAATGACATCAGAATTACAGTAAGGCGAAGGTAAAGGTTTTCTCCTGACATTAAGTCCAGTCGTGTCTGACTCTGGGGTGTGGTGCTCATCTCCATTTCTAAGCCAAAGAGCTGGCATTGTTCGTAGACACCTCCAAGGTAATGTGGCCAGCATGACTGTACGGAGCAGCGTTACCTTCCCGCCAGAGCAGTACCTATTGATCTACTCACATTTGCTTGTTTTTGAACTGCTAGGTTGGCAGAAGCTGGGGCTGACAGTGGAAACTCACGCCGCTCCCCGGAATCGAGCCTGCGACCTTTCGGTCAACAAGCTCAGCACTGTGCTACCACTGTGCTACCGGGGGCTCCTGGTGCAAATAGTAAATTCCTTTATTTTTTGCAGCAGAGTTTTAGCAGAGAATAAAATAAACAGCTTTATCCAGATGTAGAAGAAAATATAGTTCTTTGGCATTCAAAATAAGATAAAGGTAAAGGTTTTCCCCTTATATTAAGCTCTTTTACAGTCAGAAAGTTCTTCCTAATGTTCAGATGGAATCTCCTTTCCTATAATTTGAACCCATTGCTCTGAGTCCTAGGACCTCTTCACACTCTTTTTCAGCAGCGGTGATGGGTTTCATTCAGTTCAGCCACAGAGCCCGATGGCTCCCATCACACTCCAGAGAAGTACTTCCAGGGTGGCTCTGTGGCTGTCATTGCTGAAACAATGGCAGGCTCCCCGTCTTTCCATTAGCCTCCATTAGGAAAGATGGGTCGAGTCGCCAAAAACAGACTTCCCTACATGTGCTGAGGCAGGCAGAAGTCATGACAAAGTGGGGCACAAGATGACAGGTCACCATGGCCCCTGAACAAGCGCTGTTATTCCGGTGGTGCATGTGACAAGGTCTCTAGTCTCCAATGCAGCAGAAAATACGCCTGCTCCCTCATCCTTATGACATCATTTCAAATATTTAAGCATGGCTATGATGTCTCCTTTCAACCTTCCCTTCTGCAGGTTAACGTACCCAGCTTCCGATAGAGCATGGTTTCCAGACCTTTAATAATTTTAGCTGCCCTACCCTGGATACATTCCAACTTGTCAATATCCTTCTTGAATTTTGATGCCCAGAATTGGACATAGTATTCCAGGTGAGGTCTTATCAAAGCAAAATAGAGAAGCACACGACTTCCCGATCAAGACCAGGCCTGCACAACCTGCAGTCCTCCAAGTGTTGGGGCCTCCAGCTCCAAAAAGCTATGGTCAGCTTGTTCAATGATCAGGTGTTTTGGGAGCTCCAAAAAGTCCAAAACACCTGGAGGACCACAAGTTGTGCCCTGAATTGAAGTGGGTGCAAAAACAAAAGAACCTGAATTCATATTTTTAAAATGAGTCTCCTCCCTGGATGTTACAAACATGCTTCATTCTCTTTTCATGTTTCTTTAACCAATTAACTATCTCCTAGGAAGTTGAATATGATGAATGACCCAATGAGTATTTTCTTCTTTATGAAGCCGTGGCAAGTATTCCATTCACATATATGGGTTACAGTCATTTATTTACATGTGGAGGGATATGCACAAGATTGCAGATAGCAGGCTTTCTACACAGGAATGGACCTTGGGTTTAACATGTACCTTCAGTATATCTCAGAAATATAGGTGTATAGAAGGGGCAATCTACAATTCATTTGGGTCAAGGGTCTATCCTGTATTTTTGAGAAACTACAAGAATAAAGATGGGTAGATTGTTGACATTTCTTTTTTGTTGTTTAGCAGTCTCGCCATTTTGGATTTTTACTTCTTTTTTATATTCCTGCTCCAGTTTTTTAATTCGTTTAGCATATAAACACATAAGCATTTTTACATATAAACACATAAGCGTAACTGAACAACATTTACATAACTAACAATGTTTCTCCCCAACTTACATTTCTACTCTAAATAAGTGTAAATCTAGTTTTAAAAAGTGGATTTTCTATCTCTCTTTTGCCAGTTCCTCTATAGTATAGCATTTTACATGTGACTTTATATTCAGCAAGTTATTTACTTCTGATTGTTTTTACATTAAGAAATGAATATAACAACAGTTTATATTTCCAAACCTATTTATAAAGTTTTTTCTCTCTCTCAGATATATATAGAAATATTTCCATTAAAGAATGTGCCCAGTGTTTTTTCCTTCAATAAAGTTGTTAACTTGTTCATGCCAACCTTTCAGACCGCATCTCCTTCTATGAACCAGTGTGGGTGATGAGATCTGCCGGGGAGATCCTTCTCTCGGTCCCACCACCACAGTTACAGTTGGTGGGGATGAGAAAGAAGGTCTTCTTGGTGGTGGCTCCCTGGCTCTGGAATATCCTACGTAGAGAGATTAGGTTATCCTCCACTCTCCAAACCTTTCGGTCTAGCTAAAAACATGGCTTTTAAAACGGACCTTTGACCTGGAGTAGACTGAAATGGGTGCACGTGAATACTGAATATTCACTCCGGCACTTTAGTTTGTTAATAGAAGACAGCCAGTTTTATCTGCAGGCATTACTGCATTTTATTAATTTTAACAATTTTATTCTGTGATGTTTTGTGCATTCATTGTGGTTGCGGTTGTAATTTTATGTTGTTTTGTTTTTCCACTTATGTGTTGTTTATTTTATGTGTGGCACCCTTCAGGGAGATGGATGTGGAGTATAAATAAAGTATTATTATTATTATTATTATTATTATTATTATTATTATTTCTCTTAGCTCCCACAGCTTCACTGTCCAATCCTCTTCAGTTTATTTTTCCGTCTTTCTTTACTGTTGAACATATAGAATTCTTGCCTCTGTTAACATATTCTGCAGTATTCTCTTGTGTTCCTCTTTTATTTGATCAGCCAACAGTTCTAGTAATACTAGTTCTGGCTATAAATAAATATCATCATCATCATGATCATCCATAATATAAATTTAGCCCTTTTCACCACATTTCCTATTTGTCTAGTTCTATATTTTTGCCAAAATTCTGAGCCCACTTAAACATACATTCTTCAATTACTTTTTCTTCCATCTGCATTTTTTAAAAATCCCTCTTACGTTTTACCAGTGAAATTATAACCATTATCCCATAATTGTAACTTGTCTTTTTTAAAATCACATCATTTTAAATCAATTTTCGGTCTTTTCTGCAATTGCCTGTACTGGTACCAGGTTCCATTCCTCTTCCACCAGCTCTTGTTTTGAATTTGGGTTGGCCATTTTCTCATCTCAATAAATCATGATATATTAATCATTTTCACTAACATTTTTCTCAATTTTTTATAGTACTTCTTGTATAATCTCCATAGCAGAGTTTTGGGACACAATCCGGATTTATCTTTGCCCCAAATTCCCAACAAATGTCTTCTGACATGATTTGCAAAATCTGTATTTATTTTTTATCTATCATTCCATAAATATGCATGCCAGCCAAATCGTAGATTATGTCCTATAAGCTTTTGTCTTCCAGCATTATCTAATCTTTTACCCATGCCAGATAATAAGATGCAACATATATTTTAGATCTAACAATCCTAAACCCTTTCTTTCCCTAACATCTTGAAATACTTTAAACCTCATCCACAGGAAGATTTCTTCCCTTGCCATACAGAATGCTTACTCCTAAGAACACACAACATATGAAGGTTCGCAGTAGCATCCACCACGTCAACACAAGGAGTGCATTATATGTTGTCATTTTCTCTCTTTGTCAAATCCTTCGTTTGATATTCAGAATGCGAGCAACTGTTTCTTTCAGTCTGGGATGAGTCCATATTAATATAATGGAGTGTAGAGATGGGAATGTAGACACCATGACATCAAGAAGTCGTTGTTTCTTTGATCCAAGTGTGAAAACATCACTTGACTGAATTATCAGACCAGAGATATGCACAATGTAGAAGAAGACATAAAACAGCATTTGTTTTATGATATTGAAATGCACCTTGGTGTTAAAGTCTTTACCACCAACACCACTCTTCTTCAGAGTCTTTGTGTGCTTCCATAGTGAGATGAGTAAAACAATGGATGCAGTTATACTTATGGTTAAATTTATGAAAGCAAAAACACTTTGTAGAGGAAATATAAATATGGTGCTGTAAACCTCACTGTGATTAGCACTCCCAGGCAGAGTTCCTGTCAAATTGCCACACTTTTTTTGCCAAAGATATTGGAAGACTGAAGGGAGAAAGGCGATGCTGGAAATGACTGCTGACATTCCAAGCAGCCTGGGTGCGAGCATGTTGATCCTTAGCTTCAGCCAGAGGAAGAAGAAGTTGGCAAAGTTAGTGACCTTCACACAGTAGAAAACACTTAGCCATGTGGCAGACCAGAGGCTGATCATGTTAGAAATTATCCAGATAGCATATAGAAGTGCCTGTGTAAAGGAATTTATATAGGACTCTAAAAAGATTAAATTCAGAAAATAGTTCAGCGATGAGTTTAATTGCATCATAAATCTGGAGGTGCTCAGACTGGTCAAAAGAAAATCACAAGGCAAGATCTTTCTTTTTTGAAGCCATTGATGTCCTTGTATTATTGTGATAAATCCATTTCCTAAAAAGGAAAGCATGCTTAATATTCCCACAATGGCCCAGATAAGGCTATCAAGTGGAGAAGTCAGACTGTAAGCCATTCTTGCTATTTTTTTAGAAAAAGAAAAGGTCTGAGAAGAAGTATCTGTGTGTGGTTTTCCTGGCTTCTCTCTTGGATCCAGCAGAGGAAACTGCTATTTGGAGATTTTTAAATAGACATAATATACTATGGAAAGCAATGCAAATCATAGGACAATTCTGTGATTAATTACCAAATAAAGTGTCAGTGTTGAAGAGGATGCTAAAAAAAATTCCAAATTTGCCTCTTTTTTCTTTGTTTGTTTGTTTGTTGGCGAAAATATATTGCCTTTGTTCATTTCTTGCATTTGAAGTACTCTTTGGAGCCTGATTTTTTCTGTATCCTTCACAACCATCCAATTGCAGTGTACAACTTTGTGGGATGTTTCTTTTCTGTTGATCTTGCAGAAATCTGCCTGCTCACCCAGCTTCTTGTTGTCATCAACCTTTATCAGCACAAAATGTTCAGCACAAAGGCTTCAATCACTACGCCATATGGGTCCTTCACAATGAGACGCAAGTACACAAACATCTACTTGATGTTTGTCTAAGACTTTGGAGAAATTCACAAATTCCATAGGATAATTCATCATGGATGAGTGCCATCTTTGGGAAAAGTGTTGACTTCCAGTACAGATGGTTATGACTGGTGTTGGTGCTTCTGCCCAGGGTTGCTCGCAACCCAGGCATGTAGCCGGGGAGGGGGGGGCTTGAGGGGCTTCAGCCCCGGCTACACCAGAGGTGGTGGGGTTGGGGGGGGGAGCCTTAG